GAGTTAGACAGTGAGAGAGAGAAACAGAGAGAAAGGTCTTCCTTCCTTTGGTTCACCCCCCAAATGGCCGCCACTGCTGGCACACTGCGCTGATCCAAAGCCAGGAGCCAGGTGCTTCCTCCTGGTTTCCCATGCAGGTGCAGGGCCCAAGCACTTGGGCCATCCTCCACTGCCTTCCCAGGCCACAGCAGAGAGCTGGCCTGGAAGAGGGGCAACCGGGACTAGAACCCGGCGACCATATGGGATGTTGTGGCCACAGGCAGAGGATTAACCAAGTGCACCGGCCCCGGGATATATTTCTATAACTGCTCAGTTCATACTAGCAAACATTGTGTGGTTATGAAAAGCTGTTCAGATCCTATTCTCTTTACATACTGTTTTACAGTATGTCTTTTTTTTCCCCTCCAAACTAGAGAGGGCTCTGATTTACTTGTAAATACACAAAAGAAAATCCAGAATATATTTTTATGTGGAATAAGAATAGATTGCAATTAGGTATTTATGCTGCATTTAAAAACATCAGAATCAATTTATATTCTTTAATTTTACTATTGATTGGCAGTATTGAGTTATTTATTATATTTTTACTAGTACTAATTCATAAATTACTAGTAGATGCCATTAAGATTCTTTCTATATTTACTCTTTTTTTAAAGTTTACTCATTTTGGGGCCAGTCCTGTGGTGCACTGGGTTAATGCCATCACCTGAAGCGCCGGCATCCCACATGGGCACCGGTTCGAGTCCCGGCTGCTCTTCTTCCGATCCAGCTCTCTGCTATGGCCTGGGAAAGCAGTAGAAGATGGCCCAAGTCCTTGGGCCCCTGCACCCATGTGGAGGCCTGGAAGCTTCTGGCTCCTGGCTTTATTGGCACAGCTCCAGCTGTTGCAGCCAACTGGGGAGTGAACCATTGGATGGAAGACCTCTCTCTCTCTCTCTCTCTCTCTCTGTCTCTGCCTCTCCTCTCTCTGTGTAACTCTTTCAAAAAATTAATAAACCTTTAAAAATAATAAAGTTCACTTATCTTTATTTTTTAAAGGCAGAATGACACAGAGAAAGAGAGGAAGAGACAGAGACCAGAGAAAGAGGCAGAATAGACAGACACAGAGAGAGATCTGCTAGCTCACTCCCTTAATATCTACAAGAACTGGGGTGGGGCCAGGCAAACCCACTGCCAGGAACTCCATGGGAGTCCCCACCATGTGTGGGGAAGGAAGCCAAGTACGTCATCCATTATCCACTGCCTCTCAAGAATGCACGTTAGTAGGAAGCTGTATCAGAAGTAAAAGCAGGGCACCAGGCACTCTGATATGGGTACTGTCACCCCAGGATTCAGATTATCCCATGACACCAAGATGTCCACCTGCTCTTCCAAGTTAAGTCATTTTTAACATTTATATTATGATATTATATACCTTCAAGTAAATGAATAAAATAATAAGTATTAATGGTTAGAATACTTGACCTATAGGTTCTTAACAGCATCTGTAACCTAAAAACATGAATGTTAAAAACAGTACTTGTGCTAAAATAATTTTAAAAGTCTGAAGTTTTTTATAGTTTATCTATAAAGATCTACCTTTTTTTTTTTTGACAGGCAGAGTGGACAGTGAGAGAGAGAGACAGAGAGAAAGGTCTTCCTTTTCCTTTGGTTCACCACCCAAATTGCCGCTGCGCACCGCGCCAATCTGAACTCAGGAACCAGGTGCTTCTCCTGGTCTCCCATGGGGTGCAGGGCCCAAGCACTTGGGCCATCCTCCACTGCCTTCCCTGGCCACAGCAGAGTGCTGGCCTGGAAGAGGAGCAACCAGGACTGCATCCAGCGCCGCAACCGGGACTAGAACCTGGGGTGCCGGCACCGCAGGCAGAGGATTAGCCTAGTGAGCAGCGGCGCCGGCCAAGACCTACTTTTAAATGTAGCTGATTCCGGCTAGAAGAGATAGTGACATTTCTTCTTCTAAAGGAATGAGCCACTTGTATGATGTGGGATACATGCAGAAGACCATCATAAAGAGCCAATGGACATTATAAGGAAAACAAACACTTTACAACTCAATATTTTATATACAGGAATAAATTGATAATCTGCATATCATTGTCTAAAAGTGGCACTGATTGTCTAATTAATAATTTTCTGAACCAGAAAACATCAGATCCAAAGGGATTTATTGGTGAATTTTCCCAAATATTTATGGAAGAAATTACACTAAATGAATAGTTCCAAAAATGAATTTAACAAAATACTTCTTTAAGGTAATCTACAGGATTCTTGATGGTCAAAATCAAATAAATAAATAAATGGAGACATAGTCTTTATTCATAACTCTGAATCAATATTGTCACGGTGATGCTTCCTACCAACTTCGAGCAAATATTTAACACAACCCCAATTAGAAAATTATCAAACTACTTTAGGGATATAAAAAATTGACTGTAAACTTTATATGGAGGGTTAAGACCCAAAATGCCCAACAAAATATTGAAGAACAAAATAGGAGACCAAGTACTACCTGAGTTGAACGTATTCTTTAAAGATACAGTATTCAACATACTGTGATTTTGGCAAAATAATAGATAAATAAATCAATGGAACTGGATAGAGAGCCTATACACAGACTATAATTAACATTAGCATACCTTTGACAAAGGCACAAAGGCAATATAATAGAACAGATAGTTTTTTTTTTCTAACACATGGTTTTGGAGCAACTGGATATCCAAATGCAAAAGTAATGAATTGTTCTAAATATAGACTTGAATCTCTCACAAAAAATTACTCAAAATGTATAGAAAACTAAATGTGAAATGCAAAACTACAGTACTCCTAGTATATACCATAGGACAAAACCTAGATGATCTCAAGTTTCATGATAAATTTTTAGATGCAACAACAAAGGCATTATCCATGTAAGACATCATTGATTAACTAGACTTCATTGTAATTAAAAATGTATACTCTGAAAAATATGATGTATGCCAAGAACATGCAAAGACAAACCACACATCTGTGAGAAAAATGTTCACAAAAGACACATTTGATAAAGGCTTATATACTGATAACACTACATGCAGCCGAGGGTGAGAAGGAATAGGAAGTCTCCTATGCACTGCTGGTGGGTTGAAAATGGTACAGCCACTTCAGCTTACACTGCCGGTTTCTTACTAAACTACACGTATTCTTATCATACCGCCCACCGACTCTGCTCCCCTGTATTTCCTTAAGGCTGAAATTCCCACACAAATATCTGTGCATTTATTTATAGAGACCGTATAATTTGTTATTGCCTAAATTTGGAAGCAACCAAGATGTCCTTATGTAGGAAAATGGGATGTATGCAGAAAGAGTTCAGAAATCATAACAGGCCTATATTACTACTTTCATGCATCTCTTGGATCAATGAGATTCTGAACATAGTTTTCGCTCTCCCAACTTCATAATCTTCAAATTATAAGGGCACTGTTAGATAAAAAGCAAGTCCAAATTAAAGGTAGATAAAAAATGACCAAGATATGTAGCAGATGAATGTTATTATAAGTTGAATTGTTTCCCTCAAATGATGTTTTAAAGTCTTAATCCCTAGAATGCAGAATTTTATTTTCTTTGGAAATAGCCATTGCAGATGCATTTAGACAACACAAAATGTGGCCATTCCAGATTGGAGTTGACCCTTAACCTGTGTTCCTACAAGAAGAGTCAGGACTATGTGAAGACAAACACAGGGAGAACAATATGTAACTATACAGGGGTTGGAGTAATTCCTTCATGTCAAGGAATGTCTGGGGCTCCCTGAATCTGGACAAGTAGAGGAAGGACCTCCTCCAGGGACTTCAGAGGGAGCATGGCCCTGACAATCCCCTGATTCTATGCTTCCAGCTTCTGGAGTGAGAATACAAATTTGCTGTTTTAGCACCCCACATTGTGGTTTTGTGTTATGGCAGCCCTAAGAAACTTGAATATCGCTGTTTGAGTGGAGTGCTATGCACTGCCATTCTCCAGTAATGAACCATCTTCCCTTTAGATTTAGGTGTGGGTTCTATGATAAGTAGCTTCCAAATGATCACATTTTCATAGTTTATAGAATCAGCCTATTTCCTGCCCAAGCTTATGTATACTGTTTAGGACAGAAGCATAATCCACTTCAATTTAGGTTATATGGATTATAAATAATTAGGGAAATTCATCAATGTGATGGCCATTTCCTATTATCCTAATTTGGTTTCTTCTCTCCATTACTCCCTAAGCCCTATATCTATTTTTGGAGAAAGCTTATTTCTCTTATTTTGGATCCAGACTCCCAAATCTAGGTATTACCATTTCCTTTAAACTAGACTGTATGTCTCAGTGACCCCCACATGATAATATCTGTATTTTGCCAAATAGCTCTTAAGAAATAACTACTTTTAAAAATCTTATTCTTAATAATTGTTTATACGTGTGTATTTATATATACATATATATAATTTTATTGACAACTTTGCAAAGAAATGCACCATAATAATGTGGACTTAATAATAAAATCAGATTGAATACATTATAATGGGTCCCTCATCACTGACATGTACTGAGGTATGCTGGTGATTCAATCTCATATAATTTATGTATACTGTGCTACAAAGTGCTCAATTGTCAATAGTGTCTCTGAATTATTGATAAGCTTTTATTGACTAATAGAAATTTACTCATTACATCAGATGCAATTTTATAAATTCTGTAATATAGGGAATTTGAAACTGCTTTAGGTATTTAAGGTATAGAAATCTATCAAAAGCAAATATTTGTATTTAAACTGTAAACCATCATATAAATGCCATTTGAAATTAACATTGCTTATATTCCAGCCAAACTCTGGTCTTAAAATGTTGTATTCTCACACTCATTAATGATATAGTTTAAATTTATTAGTAGTAGTAGTAGCAGTGTTACACAATGCATTTAGCAAAACATAAATATATGTGTATGCTATCTTTAAGGAATTTTGTTGATATAATAATTAATCATACCTGAGTTAGTTCATTAATATCTACAAGTCCATTATTGTCTGTATCAAAATATTTAAACATTTGATCCACCAATAGCTTCTTCCGAAATATGTCATCACCATTAGGATTTTCATTTTCTTGTGTAATATATTTTTGATTTTGTAAGTCTAAAAGCATGCTTTTCATCTTGCTGTATTCAGTGGTCTTGCAGTTATCACCTGTAACAAAAGAACTAGGTTATTTTCAGAGTAAAATTATTGAGAAGAAATAATTTAATTTATTACTATTGAGAAACTGATGTTATATGGGCAACATGTCTTCTATATGTTTTATTTATGATTTTGTATATTTAACCATATGTATTAGGAAAGCGGATGGGGTTCTTTTATAGCAGGATAGAAAACTTTCATTTCTGTCAGATCTAAGAACAACCTAAGCACTATGTAGTATCTTTTTGGGGAAAGCATTGGTGCTAGAAGAGACACAAACAAATATGATAGCTCCTATTGGCTCCGTAATTTAATAGATTCATTGTCTTAGTTTGACCCCTCACCACACATCTCTACACAAATAGTTTTATAGCTGCAGAAAATGGAGTAAAGGAAAATTAGTGAATTGCCCTAGACAAGAGGTTAAACTGTGCTGGATTTCATATTTTCAATCAATTATACCTGGTTTCAAAAAAACAAAACAGACTTAAAAATATCATTATAATATTTTAAAATTTAAAGACACATAAATATAAGCATAGTTATGAGGTTAAATGTGAGATTTTATTCCATGTATACATTGTACAAAGTTCAATTTCAAGCATTTGACATTTCTTTACAGTGAAAAAATCCAAAATCCTATCTCCTAGTCTTTTCTTAATAGAGAAACATACAGTACATTAAAAATAGAGTCCTGAAACTTTTTTCCCCCATCTAGTTATAATCTAATACCCACCTATCATCTCTTCTGTATACATCCTTTTGCAATCTCTGTTAACCCCCATTATAACTTTTTAAAAAACATTTATTGGAGCCGGTGCCATGGTGCAGTAGATAATCCTCCACCTGTGGTGCCGGCAGCCCATATGGGCGCCGGTTCTATTTCTGGCCGCCCCTCTTCCAATCCATCTCTCTGCTATGGCCTAGGAAAGCAGTAGAAGATGGCCCAAGTGCTTGGGCCCTGCACCCGCATGGGAGACTTGGAAGAAGCACCTGCCACCTGGCTCCTGGCTTTGGATCGGCGTAGTTCTGGCCACTGCGGCCATATGAGGAGTGAACTAATGGAAGGAAGATCTTTCTCTCTGTCTCTCCCTCTCACTGTCTGTAACGCTACCTCTCAAATAAATAAATAAAATATTTAAACAATTATTTATTTACATGAAAAGAAGTGTTACAGAGACACAGAGATATCTTCTATCTGTTGGTTCACTACCCAAATGGTCACAAAGGCCAGAGCTGTGCTGATCTGAATCCAGGAGCCTGGAACATCTTATAGGTCTCCCATGTGAGTGCAGAGGTCCACACGCTTGGGCCATCGTCTGCTGCTTCCTCAGGCACACTAGCCGGGAGCTGTATTGGAAGTGGAGGAGCCAGGACTAGAACCGGCACCTTGAACAGGCGCCCATAAAGGATGCTGGCACTACAGGTGGCAGTTTTACCCCTTATGTCACAAGTCCAGGTCACTATATCTTTAACTTGTAGATCACTTATTTTTTAGACTCCACACAGAAATCAGATCACACGATATTTGTGTTTCTGTACTTGTTTCATTTGATTTAACATAATGATTCAGGGTAATTATACAAAATTCTTCAAAAATAGTTTTAGGTATCTGGATTTGTTTTGAAAAAATAATATACATGTATTTATGTATTTATATATATTTAACACTTTTTATAAATTCTGACATGAGTCTCATCAGTATTCTTGTAAAAGTCTTCTTAGTGCTGTTACTCATTTCTCTCTTTGCAGGACACTCAAGGTATAGCATGATTTATATTTGAATCTTGTATCCTGAGGCATTCACTTTATAAATTTAATCTCTATAAAACTTGAAGTAACTGCATTACAAATTTGCAGTATCTCCCATGTAATAACCAGCAAAATACTGAAACATTAAAGTTAAGAAAACTATTGCTCTTCTTAATATTTCTCAAAAAACCCTGTAATTCCTCTACTATGTTCACATATTACATACAAAGGAATTTACTAAAAATGACACCATGATGATATCTTTATAAATAGTATTGGCAACAAAAGGCAAATTATTGATAACAAATGTGACATAAAATATATTACACTAAGATACAATGCATAACGCAATTCTCAAATGAAAAAGTATTATATTATCTGCAAGTTTTTGCAACATACTTTTTAGAAGAAAAACCTCTATTATTGCCTATATTATAGGTAATGCCTATATAAATATTAGGCTATGACAGCATCCACAATTTAAAAAATTTTCTGAAGATGTTTCAGTATATGTCTGAAAGGCAGGGAGTTGAAAACAATATTTGAAGTCTTATTCTCTTTCAGGACAAAATGGAAAACAATCTGTCCTAGAGAGATGAGAGATGATTTTATTTTTCATAGACAGTGAAATGACTACTGCTGTTCAGCAATTTTAGGGTTCAGCAGTCCTGTCAAGAAGTTCTTTCCATACAACAAAATGTAAACTTTGGTCAGCAGATTAAGTCATTTTTGCATTATTCTGTTCTCACTAAGGAATAATAATACGAATATGCTTTCATAATAGCAGGGAACTCACTGCCAAAATAGAGAAGTGATCAGGCCCAGAGTCAGAGCTAGCAATTTGGGTGTCTGGGAAAGCGGCACAGAGAAGTGCTCAGATATGGTTGTATGTTGTGCTCCTGTGTGTGCGTGCGTTTGTCCATCAAGAAGGAGAGGAATTCGTGATGGAAGAATGGGGAAAGACATAACAGACCATTCCAGTAGCCATGTTCTGCATTGCAGGATCTGGATCCAGATCTCCTTCATCTCTATTGATTGCCAGAGGGGGAAGGGAGTTCTGGGACAGAAAGTTGACTCTGGGCCCAGGCAATGAAAACATCGAAAGCTGGTGAAAGGCAGATGGAAACAGAGTTTAAGCATTACAGATATCTCCCTAGTATTTAAAATGATGGAAAAGGATACAGTTTGAGCTATGATTGTGTTTATGTTCTAATCAATCAATGTAATCATCATAATATATCCATCCATACTCTCATTCTACAAATTAAATTTCTTCTCAAGGCCACGCATTGGAGTGGCTGCTGATAATCCACAAAAATAACAAAGTTATTGCAGCCGATGCATTCACAGTGTATGGAAATGAACGGAATGCAGCCATGAAATTATGCACATCTTTTTGCTACTTGTAATAAAATCAGTTGCAATCTCTTTTAGTAGCAAATATATCTATTATGTTACATTTAATTAATTATTTTTTATTTATTTGAAACACAAGCAGACAGGGAGACACAGGGAGACAGAGCGAGATCTCCCATCTGCTAGTTCATTCCTCAAATGCTTACATCAACTGGAGCTGGGCCATGACATAGCCAGGAGACAGAAACACAGACCAGACAGATCACATGGGTAGTGGGGACCCAATTATCTGAGCCCTCACCTGCCGCCTCCCAGGGTGTGTATCAGCAGTAAGCTGATATTTGGAGAGGAGCTGGGACTCAAAGCCAGGCAAGCAGGCAAGTAGTTGGGTCCCTGCCAGTGAAATGGGAAACCTGGACTGCGATGCTGGCTCCCAGCTTTGGCTTGGCTCAACTGGAGGACATTGCAGGCGCTTACAGGATGGATGGCATGCACTCTCTCTTTCTCCGCTCCCCGTCCTCACCCCAAGCCATTGCTTTGAGAACTCTACAGATCTAGAAAGGGGCCAAATGACTTTTACACACAGGAAAAATACCTCTTGTATCTGCAAACTTTACCTCTTTCATCTTCAGCACTGTTTTTCTAATGGCCAATTAGTGGTTAAACTTTTATATGAATTCAATAAATTTGCCCAAGGTTTATTTGTAAATTGAGTGAATAGCATGGTTACATAAGAGACAGAGAAAAAAGAAATTGCAAATTTTATTTGAAAAAAAAAAGGAAAGGAAAGGAAATAAATAATCAAAAAGTACCTTAGAGGTAAGAAGTAATCTGTGGGAAATTAATGGTGAGAACGCAAAAGGGGAAATAACTTTTCAAGAAATAATGTGACTGAATGTCAAACATCTCAGAGTAAAGAAGTAGGATGAAACAACATGCTAATTGGATTCCTTAATTGAAGATAATTGGTGACTTTAAAGGAAAAAATTAATGAATAAATGGAGCAGACTTATATTTCAAGAATAAAATGAACTGGTTTTATGTTACAGTGAGTTAAGAGATTAACACAAAATCAGGGTTTAGAAGCACTTAATAGTTACCATCATTTTATAATTATCAATGGGAAAGAAATGGAATTAACGAAGTTAATGAAGAAGAATAAATGATTAGAAATTGAGGTCCCTATCTAAGAATAGTATTAGGCAGGAAGCTGAGTTGTTCCTGGTTGTTTATCTGCTACATTAGCAGTATCCTTTTCTGGACCCACTGTTGTGGCACAGCAGGTTAAACATCCCATAGGCACCAGGAAGGCAGCAGATGATGGCCCCACAGCTTAGGACTGCCACCCACCTTGGAGACCCAGATGGAGTTCCAAGCTCTTGACTTCCTTCTGGCCCAGCCTTGGCCATCACAGCTATTTGGAGAGTGAACCAGCTGACGGAGGAAGATTCTCTCTCTCTCTCTCTCTCTGCACCCCACCATTTCTCTCTCTGTGTGTGTGTGTGTGTGTGTGTGTATGAGAAACCACCCCACCCCAACTCCCAGCATCTTTGCCTTTCAAGCAAGTAATAATTTTTTGAGAGTTTATTGTCAAAAGGATTGGTATAGCCAAGGGAAAGAACTGTTCCTGGCTTCACTTCCTGTTCTGGGGCAATAGTAAGAAAGCTGCATCACTGTTGCTGTTCTAGACATGGAAAGTAACACTGATGAAGACGATATCCGTGCATCGGCTTCCCTCCCATGGATGCAGTGAAACCTGGGCTGGACTGATGCTTGATGCAATCATTCCAAGGGCAGTTAAAATAAAAACATCTTCAGGATGCACAATCAAATGGCTGTACCTGTGTAGCAGAAGATCCTCTCCTTGCCTCTGCAAGACTGAAGATAATCACCCTTTCCGT